CTGCAAATGGAAGCTTAGCTTGCTACACCACAGTGTGGCTTATTTTTATAGCTGAGAATACTTGAATAATTTTTCTTTGAATGCACTCAACTTTAAAAACAAAAAATAAGTAGAGGTGTGTGGCACAGCACTTATTATGAAGTTGGGAAGCGTGTATCTCATTTTGGAATGCCTATGTTCAAGTTCTGGATTTGTTGCCTTCACACTCCCTGCTAATGAAGAACCTGGGAGGCAACAGTGATGACTCAAGCAGTTGGGTCCCTGCCACCTGTGAGAAAGACCTGAATTTAGCTCCTTGTTTAGGCTCAGGCCTGTCCCAGATGTTGTGGACATTTAGGGAATGAATCAATAGATTGGAGCACTTTCTCTCGCTCTCTCCATTCTCCCTCATCTTCTGTGTCTCTGTCTATAAATTCAGTAAATGTAAAATAAAGCAAACAATAGATGAAATTAAGAGGGTTTTTGACTACCCTTAAGAGTTCTGGTAAATATTAACAATGTAATCATGCATTTTCCTTAGTAAAAACATAACTCGTGTTCACAGTGTTTACTACTTGAGAGTACGATTTATAAAACATATTCCCTTTAGAGCCTCTAGCTCATTTTTACCATATAAATTCCATTTATGTAGTTGAAACTTTCATTTATTCCTTTGTCTTTCTATTAGTACTTGTCCTCATGTTTTACCAAGATGAGTACTCTTTACCATTTGTCACACCCAAGTTGTCACTCGTTAAGATTAAATTATGTGCTCACCAACAAAATATACTCTGCAGATATTTTAAATAAATTTATTTGATATACTAAAGAACGTCTATTGTAAAAACTTATTCTTTTCATTGGCTTGTTTTGGATTCATCCATATTAATTCAATTAGATAAAAATTCGGATTTTGTTGAATATATAAAATTAGGAATAGATAATTGTAGTCTCAGTTGTCTATTGTTTTAATTTGACAGGTAGAGTTATAGACAGTTAGAGAGAGACAGAGAGAAAGGTCTTCCTTCTGTTGGTTCCCTCCCCCAATGGCTGCCATGGCCGGCGCTATGCTGATCCGAAGCGAAGAGCCGGGTGCTTCCTCCCGTTCTCCCACGCAGGTGCAGGGACCCAAGCACTTGGGCCATCCTCCGCTGCCCTCCCAGGCCACAGCAGAGAGCTGGACTGGAAGAGGAGCAACCCGGACTAGAACCCAGGCTGCCGGTGCCACAGGTGGAGGATTAGCCAAGTGAGCCATGGCGCCGGCCCTCAGTTGTCTATTAATTTTATATTTCTTAACTGAAAAGTTATCACTGTTAAATATTATTATATTCATTAAATAAAAGTTAAAAAACAAACAAACTAAAAAATTTTATATTTCTACTAGAAGACTGGAAATATTTTCTTTTTTAAAAAAAGATTTTTTATTTATATGAAAAGTAGAGTTACAGAGATTGAAAGAGAGACGGGGGGAGAGAGAGAGAGAGAGAGATCTTCTATCTGTTGGTATATTTCTCAAATGGTCACAATGGCTAGGACTGAGCCAGGCAGAGGACAGGAGCCAGGAGCTTCTTCCAAGTCTTCCACCTGGATACAGGGGATGATAAACTCAGATATCTTCCACTGCTTTCCCAGGTACATCAGCAGGGGGCTGGGATCAGAAGTGGAGCAGGGAGAACTCTACCAGTGCCCTTATTGGATGCCTGCACTGCAGTTTGAGGCTGAATCTTCTGCACAACAATGCTGGCTCCTGGAAATATTTTTTTCTTACTCCACCTCGTCAGCAGCACTTTGAAGTCACTGGTAAATTTGTGTCAATTGTATGAATATGGAAGAATGTTTTATATCATTTTACATTATATTATCCAAATCATTTTAAAGTACATATATTATCCCTAAACATTTTCTTATTTTGTGAATTGCCTGTATATATACTTTATTTAATATCCTATGGCTTTTAGTCTACTATTGTTTAATAATTTTATGCTGTGTTCAAGATCTCTGCAATGCTTAACAACACACACACACACATACACACAGTAATTAATGGGGGCTGTCTTCATTCACATGGTGTAAATATGTGCAAATAATGATTAAAAGTGACCATGGGGCTAGCGCTGTGAGGCAGTGGGTTAAAGCCCCAGTATGCAGCGTTGCCATCCCATACGGGCGCCAGTTCGAGTCCTGGCTGCTCCACTTCTGATCCAGCTCTCTGCAATGGCCTGGGAAAGTGGTGGAAGATGGCCCAAGTCCTTGGGCCACTGCACTGCACCCTTGTGGAGACCTGGAGGAAGCTCCTGACTCAGCTCCAGCTCAGCTCTGGCTATTGTGATCACTTGGGGAGTGAACCAGCAGAATGGAAGACCTCTCTCTCCCTCTCTGGCTCTGCTTCTCTCTGTAACTCTCTTTCAAATAAATGAAATAATTCTTTAAAAAAAATGACCATGACTTTGTTTTGACATATTAAGGAATGAACCATGTGATATCGGAGCATAGGCATAGTGTTTCCAAACAGGAAACAAATGTGAGACACTGTGTAGGAATGCCTCCTATTAAGATATACTCTGTATTTTTACTGTTGAAGTATCCATTCTAGAAAAAATACCTCTTGGTTGTACTCTGTGTTCTAAGAATATTGTCCTGCGGTGAATAACAAATAAAAGAAATGCTAAGTAACAGATTGAGTTCACAAAATAGTCAGACACTGAGCAGGCTCGGCTGTGAAGATCCCAAATAAGATGCATCCATTCCACATCCGCTTACCTGGGTCCATTCTGAATTCCAGCTCCCAATATTTGTCTCATTTAAGAGCAAGTCCTGTTCAGAGGAAGATTATGGCTTAAGTAGTTTAGTCCCTGCCATCCATGTGGGAAACCTGAATTGAATTCTGGTCTTCTGTCTTGGCCGTGGAGAGCCCTGGATACTGCAGACAATTGGACAGTGACCCAGGTAATGGTAAATGGGAATATTTCTCTGTCTCTTTCTCTCTCTCTCTCCTCTCTCACACACAAAGAAAAAATAAAACATTAAATAATGATCAAACATGAAGGAGAGAAGGTAAACACTATCACTGAAAATCATCTATGAAAGGCACAGTTTTCTGCAATGAAAATGTGGTCTGTGGGAAGCAGGGCTTACATGAACAAAGTCAGGACCCTCTTCTGAACTTTTGTCCCTGGGCAATAAGGAATAGTGCTAACCCTTAGAGCATCACAAAGTAGTACAGGTTAAAGAAAACAGACCCAAAAACTGAAAATAATCAGATCTTTAGGGAATTCCATGGAGATGGCTGAGAATTTAGTCATGGGAATAATCCAATCTGCTAAGCAGTTTGTACTTTACACTCTGAATTGGGCATTTTATTATTGTTATTATTATTATTATTCAGCTTAAGGATAGGCTTTATAAGTGCTAACATGTAGTGTTTACATTCTGGGGCATTTTGAATAAGGGTTTATGCCTATGCTCTGTAGAAACAGTGAAGAGGTCGAGATATACTCTGATAGGTAAGCCCAGTGAGGGTATCTTGAAATTTGGCCACATTACCTGTGACACCTGAACCACAGGCTCCAATTAGCTTGTTGCATAGACTTATGGATAAAGCTCAATGCCTTGAACTGAAATAGATTCCAGTAACTCCATGGAAAATGTCCTATATCTATGAGGACAGTGGATTTTCCTGGGATTGAGTGGTATTTGATCAAGCTAATCAGGTGTAATGAAAAAAAATCTTTCAAATTTCAGTTCCAGGATCTTCCATACAATTGGAAAATAAATAAGAAAAAGAAAAATATATTTGAATATTATACATGAAGGAATTAAGGGCATGCCATCTCAAGATATGCAAAGTGGTTTATTGATAATTTCAACCTAAAATCACCTGAAGAATTGTGACTTCAGAAAGTTCCAGTTTTGCCCTGTGTTTTCCTATGTTCAAAAAGCCATAATATTCTTTTGATGAAAGATTTATCTATCCATATATTTGGAAAGGACAGTCACAGAGACCAGAGACAGCAGAAATGAGCTAGAAAGAGAGAGATCATCTATCCACTGAATCCACTCCCAAATTGTTACAATGGCCAGGGCTGGGCCACGCCAAAACCAGGAGCCTAGAATTCTGTTCATTGTCTTCCACTTGGGTGGGAGGGATCCAAGCACATGGAGCCACTAACTTTTGCCTTCTCAAGAAAATTAGTAGGAAACTGGATCAAAAGTGGGACAGTCAGGATTCAAATCAGCACACCCATATGGGATGTTGGCCTTGCAAGCGGTGGCTTAATCCACTGTGACACAACACCAGCACCCCATTAAGATTCTTTAAAACAGATGTCCTTTGTGTACTTTGTGTTCTAAAATGGTAAACAGCCTTAATCATTAAGTATTAATGAATAATCTTGCTATAGTAACCTTATCTTTTCCTAGATTGGTTTTCTGAAGGTATGTCCCTTAGCGATGTCCAGAGAAGTAATTACCCTAGTTTAGAGATTTGTCTGTCCTATCATTCCTGCACACATTTAGGTTCTTAGATTGAATAGCATAAGCACATCATTCTCTTATCTTTCCTTCAGAATTCACACTCTTGTGATGATCTTCGCATACTTGTAAAATTAGTAAAACTTGTATGTTTCTCTCTTGTTAATCATACACTATATTAATTCATTTCCAAAATTCAGTTAAAGAGTTCACACACGAACTAAGGAGAGGGGAGCCAGAATCTCTCATATCTGTATATCTGTATCTAGCTATCTATATATAGAGAGATATCCATAACTTGTACAACTATAAGTATCTACATGGAAACACATCTATGTGGGATCTACATAATCAATATGATCATAGCACAAAGAAAATGAAGGGGTTTTATTCTTCATGCAGAAACTGAATGTGCAGGGGATTGCTCAAGGTCTTTGTTTTAAATGACCAAAAAGAAATGAATTACACCAACAAACTGAAACAAAAGTTTTCATCATAACTTCTTTATATTGAGGTGCAGAATATCACTCTCAAAGTTCTCAATTGAGTTTTTAGTATGAAAAATAAACTTTATTGATAAACTTATTATTCCCAAACACTTTTATCATTGCCTCTTTTACATCTTTGTTCCTCAAACTATAGATGATGGGATTCAACATTGGGATCACAATGGTATAAAATATCGACACTATCATGTCATGCTCCAAAGCATAACTGGAACTTGGTCTCACATACATGAAAAGCACAGTACCATGAAAAATGGACACTCCAGTTAGGTGGGAGCCACAGGTAGAGAAGACTTTGCGTTTCCCTTCAGAAGAATGCATCCTCAGAATGGCTAACAGAATGAAACCGTAGGAGATCAGAACAATTAATATAGTTGATACCTCTATAGAGCCAGCAAAGTAGAAGAGTAGAAGCTGGTTTATGTGGGTATCTGAACAAGAAATAGCCAGGAGAGGAGGGATATCACAAAAGATATGTCTAATTTCATTGGATCCACAGAAAGACAGGCTAAATGTGGCCACTGTGTGCACAATGGCATGCAAAATCCCACCAATATAAGAAGCGATGATGAGTGGTACATAGACCTTGGGTGACATGCTCACTGAGTACAGAAGTGGGTTGTAGATGGCCACATAGCGATCATATGCCATGGCAGCTAAGAGAAAGCATTCTGTGGTTCCAAGGGTAACAGCAAGAAACATTTGTACTGCACATCCTAGGAATGGAATGGCTTTATTCTTTGATACAAAATCCACTAACATATTTGGGGTAATAACCGAGGAATAGCAGGCATCTACAGAAGACAACACACTCAGAAAATAATACATGGGGTTGTGGAGCCGGGAATCCCCAACGACCAATACAATCAGTCCCTAAATT